AAGAGGATAATATAAATTAAATAAAAGACTAGTCGCAAATAAATACATATATTATATTTAAATAAATGTATATAAGTGTGTGGGTGTATGTGTGTGTGAGTGTATGTGTTGGACTTTATTTATGTGTACATATAGTGAATAAACTACAAAGAATATTTAATAGTATGATAAATTAATCGACTGGTCATTTGTAATACACGTGCAATCAGAGAAAGTATAAAAAAACGATTCATTGACGAACTGATTGACTGATTGATTGATTGATTAATTGATTAATTAATACATTCACTGATTAGTTGATCAAGAAGCGATTCAGCTGATTGAATGTATTAACATATCGAATGATTGATTTGATTTGACTAAACAACTAATCGATTGATTGATAGATTGACTGATTGATATATTAATTAATTGAGTTAGTGAGTGATAAATGATTGAATGATTGGTTGATAATTATTGATTGATTGATAGCTAAATGACCCAAATGGAGGAATGTAAATCAAAGAAGAACATACGTACATACAAACATAAAAACGAATACGGACACCCAAAAAAACGATTGGTCAATAAATATGGTCCAAAAATTATAAGAATTTTGAAATTAAATGGAAAAAAATAATAATAATCTGAAAAACATCAAATTCTCAAAATGAAGAAAACTGGAAAAATAAATCAAGAACTAAAATTAAAACGTCAAATTTTTTTAAATAAATCACATCTTTCCATTTATATAAAACAAATTGATAGAATGTAACAGTATATTTATTAATTCATTCATTCTTTTAATCATTCATTCATTCAATGGTGCATTCAATGATTCATTCATTAATTCACTCGTAAATATAACTAAACGTTTATACATCTTCAATTCATTCGAACATACATACGTACGTACATTCAATCGATATCAATAATTCATCATTCATATATTCAATCATTCCTTCACTCGTTCATTCATTCATTCATCCATTAATTCAAACATTTATAAATAGTTGTTTAACCATTATGAAAATAAAATCGAATTATAAATAATACACGTAAAATCGGATAAATATATGTTGTGATATGCAAAGAATTATATATATATATATATATATATATATATATATATATATTGTGTGTGTGTGTGTGTGTGTGTGTGTGTGTGTTCATA